TTTGGGGCACACGTGAGGAACACAAATGCGAACAAGCCTGAATGGTCCCGAGGACAATATGCAACTGAAAACTCACACCCCAGAAGTGACTCGAACCCATACTCCCAGGAGCAACGCAACTGGTATGTACAAGACGCCTTAATCCACTTGACCATCACGACCGGACATAATGAGGTGATAGCAGAGGCTATTTGAACCACCCCACCGCCGGCACTCGGATAGTAATCTTGGGCATAGCATTTTACCAAATCACCTCATTCTTTGGGGCACACGTGAGGAACACAAATGCGAACAAGCCTGAATGGTCCCCAGGACAATATGCAACTGAAAACTCACACCCCAGAAGTGACTCGAACCCATACTCCCAGGAGCAACGCAACTGGTATGTACAAGACACCTTAATCCACTTGACCATCACGACCGGACATAATAATAATAATATATATATATATATATATATATATATATATATATATATATATATATATATATATATATATATATATATATATATATATATATATATATATATATATATATCAGAAGCCCAACAACCAATATTTCCCTACCTTTTATCTTGAGTCCCTTCTCTGCCCACCCTTATGCATTGCTACTTGAAATCTGTCACTAATCATACAGTTGGGTACGATTCTTGCCTCACAATCGTGAATTCCGGGTTCAAATCCCGGACGGGACAGAAATGGTTGGTCATATTTCCTATCACCCAATGCTCTGTTCACCTAGTCATCTTGTTGTGAAGGATTCGTCCTTGGGATGGCCCGTAGTTCAATCTTGTGGGGGGGACATCGATATAAGTCTAAAATGCCTATATACACAGACTGGCTGTCCCCAATAAAATGAAATATTGGTATATCGGACGAGGAGCTGCCTCCTTCATATGTTCATCTTCCAGTGCTGAGAAGGTTTAGGAGGTCACATCGTGTACCAGATGTCTCTCTATTGACTTAGTATGGCCTTCACGGCTTCTGCTTCACATTGTGCATCAATGGGTGTAGCTGTAATTAAGGGACATGGATTCGAGGCTATGGATCTACATATATGTAATGTGGGGACCCATAGTCTCTGAGAAGGGAATATAAAGCATTTAGAGAAAAACTAGTCATTTGACTGTAAATATATATGAATATATAAATGACCAGGAAGGAAAATGAAACAAGAAATTATTTAAGCTTGTCAAATACTTCAACACATCATCAACACATTACATTTTACATTTGCCATATATATAATTACCCCAAATATTAAATCAAAGCAAAACCTTATCGAGATTTATTTCTTAGTCCTATATATGAGTTTGCCAGAGTAATTGTGATTAACGTTAAATAGAAATACTAAATTGGTTGAACAAATGTTTCTTCAAATTAGTAGCTAATATTGAAACGAAACAAGCTTTTTATAATCACCCATCTATTCACTACTTTTAATTTATAAACATACGATTTTTCCTGAACTGTCTTTGAAATATCAATGCATTGTGATTGAGCTGCGGAAAATGATGAATCTTGAGCATTATATTTTATAAGTGACTTGATAGAGGATTCTTGAACATATTCTGCCTGCTATACTGGCTTTGTCATTACATTCATTAACAATCATGAATTTGATATCTGATATACACTTCTGGGATAGACGAGGGTCAGTGGCTTCGGGAAGAAGTTCTGCTGGTAAATGGAACACAGACTAACTGACATTTTTGCCGGATTTGGAAATCTTGGTGAGGCTGCTAGAAATTTCCCATCCATTGCAGCCCTGAGCCGACTTCTGCGGTTGATTGGTGTATAAAGGGAGCCTAAGGCACACCACCGTCTGATCCACCTGTACACTGTGGATAAGCTGAACTTCGTAACTAAGGATATATCCCATGCAGACATGCCCTGCATCCATAGCAATATAATCCTAGTTCGGTTATGGAACAAAAGTTGATTGACGAGGAATGGTCGGTCCATCGGTGGCGGCTCTGTTAAATGGATTTTTAATTGAAAGAAAGAGTTGTATTCTATTTGCACAGTTATCTTTGAAATAAATGTTTATATTTATTGATACTTTAACAAAGCCTGAGTATTTATAATAATCTAGATATAATATTATAAAAAAAAAACTTAAATTCAATAAATGCAAGCTTTCAGAGCTTGCCAATAAATAATTGTACTTACTTATAACAAATATTTTTTTACAAGTTAATTATAAGTGTAATTGACATTCACAATATTAATAAATTTAAATGTTGCTATTTTTTAGACATTCATTCAAACAAAAATTTTCAATATTTTATCTTAGAATTATTTTGATCCAGAAATTAAAACGAATTACCTTTTACTTTATCTCTTTCCCCATTTTAATCCAGCAGTTCCAATTACAGTCTTACTACTTTAAGGAGGTCTCCAAAACGAAAGTTAATTAAATTACAAGAGCCCTGTATATCCAAATGTGCAACTTCTTTTTTGTATATGCCCACCTAAACTATATATGATCATCCAAACTGTATATGCTGAACCATATACGGTTTGGGTAGAACACTTTGTTTCACATTAGCAATCCTCTACGTCTCCGGTACCCTGTACCGTAGACGTTGACTCTAATAATTTATTGAATATGAACAACAAGGGTTCGCAAAACTTTTATATATATATTTGTTAAGCACCCATGAAAACACTTTATCTGGTCCTGGGGGCTTATATTGCCTTACTTACTAACTATTGTCCTCTTTACTACCAATATAGATTTATTCAGCTGAAGGCATAATGTTTAAATGTTCTCTTGTAAATCAACTGAATTTTTGTTTAAATACTACTCGTTTGTCATTATCAGTTATCGGTTTGTCAATTTTTTATTGCCTTGTCTATTTCTAAAATATATATGGTATAATTGAAAAAACTATGTTTTCCCTCCCTGCTACACGTGTTTAATAGTTTCTTTTTGCTGTGCTTTGTTCATTTTTAATATGCCAAGTAGGATGACAAATGCTTCTTCTACACTGATTTCAACATTAATAATTATTTTGTGCAAATTTTTGTAAGGTTTAATATCAGAATCCTCTATGGAAGATTTCCTACTCTCACACATGTTCTAAAAAATTGTTTTTTATAGCTGCAAATAAACTCAGTCTCGACTGTTAGAGCGTTAAAGCGTCCCACAAGAACTCAGTCAAATAATGATCACACTACACGGCAGAAAATGGAGAAACGACAACGTTTAACTCCGTTCTGGACCATTAGTAAGTCGTGTAAGAGAATAGAAGATGTTGTTGTTGTTTTAGATTCAGCTATTCAGAACAAAAAGTTTCAAGTAGCATGGGCTATGGTGAGCCCGTAAGAATAGAGGAAGGTACAAGTCACGCCGACGTTACGTGTATAAATCAGGAGAGTGAGATGATATGTGGAGAGCAGGTAAGACATAAGGTAAGAATAGGATGATGCACGAATAAGATGAGTGTTAGAATAAGGTAAGAATAGGATGAATGTAAGAACAAAAGTAAGTAGAAAGATAATAATAAGAAAAAGTGGTAAGAATAAGCAATAGGAGGCCTCGTCTGGGACCGGGCCGAGGGGGTCGTTCAGTTCCGAAATCAACACAATGCCAGGGGCAAAGCTTAAATCAGGTTTCATTTGTTAAGAAGCTTGGAGCATTTAAGTATGCACTGTGAAAGGAAGAGTCAACAACAACAAAGGCAGGACTATGATTCGTGTTGCGTGGGTAGTATCAGAGCCCATTCGACAGGATGGCGTCTGTGAAAACCAGACACAGGAAAGCTTATTTTAGAAGATCAATTTATAGGATGATTTATTTTAGAAACGTCGACGTTTCTCCATTTTCTGATGAGTGGTTTTGTAATCATGTCTTCGGCTACGTTACTGCGACTCATCGTCTGCGTTCAATCATATGCTTTTTGTAGATAAACGAAGGTTAGTAAATTTATTCCTTTGTTGGAAATTTTAATAAATTTCAAAGTAAAAAATCAAAGAGAGAGAGAGAGAGAGAGAGAGAGAGAGAGAGAGAGAGAGAGAGAGAGAGAGAGAGAGAGAGAGAGAGAGAGAGAGAGAGAGAGAGAGAGAGAGAGAGAGAGAGAGAGAGAGAGAGAGAGAGAGAGAGAGAGAGAGAGAGAGAGAGAGAGAGAGAGAGAGACAGGCAGACAGACGGTGTTATAAACTCTCTACTGCATTATAAACACTATAATTATATTACTTAATATCATATTATCACTTTTAATATTCCGCTGTGCACACTCAACATAAGAGCATAAGGCAATGACATGTTAAACTAAAAGAGAACGTTCAGATGTGGAGCTATGTTCATATACAGTACCAAGCCGAAGAATGAACTTACAAGTGTGGAGGAAGCAGGGACGGACTCTGGAGACTAACTAACAACACCTGGGGCTGACTCACGTATTTATAGGAGGGAGGCTGCGCAGGGGGAACGACGATCTCTCAACAGTAGCTTCTTAATGTTAGTGTGTGTGCAAATGTTTATGTGTGTGTGTGTGTGTGTGTGTGTGTGTGTGTGTGTGTGTGTGTGTGTGTGTGTGTGTGTGTGTGTGTGTGTGTGTGTGTGTGTGTGTGTGTGTGTGTCTATTTTTATTTACTGTTTGTGTCCACGCCAAGTGAAGCGTTGCCAACACCAAGCTATGCATCCACATCAAGGAAGGTTCGGCAAACCTCCAGGAGTTTGCTGACGTTGGTGGAGGCGTGTCATTATCTGGACACTGGCCCACAACCCGGGACAGGGGGAACGTAGCCCATATACGCAAGTAGCCTCGTAATGGCGAAAAGGGTGATCGCCCAGGCTTTAGATCACGGAAGGTGTGGCCAGACAGCAGCCATCAGCTCATGAATGGGAAGGCGTGGCACCACATACGACCAGACGACGACGGGGAAGGCGTGGTTATCGTCCAGGAGGCGGCTCTGGACAAGGAAGGCGTGGTCTAGGGACCGGATGGATAATACCGGCCGCACTTTCCCTCTCTGTTCACTTCTCTCTGGGATCAACAGGCAACAACAAGTCGCTGAAGAATCGGTTTAAAACTCTCCCATAATTTGTAAGTTAAATAGATTTTTAAAGTTGTGTTATTTGTTGCAAATTTATTCCATCATAAAAGTGAAGTGAGAGAGTGGACGAGATTATGTTATTTAGTAATATATGTATGGAGAATGTGAAGTAATTCACAGTCCTAACGAACAAACTATAGTGATACAAAGTTCTTGATCGACTATGTTCGTCTGAATTTTTATTAAATTTGTTAAATATTTTGCATTTTTAAACAAATATAAGAATCTAATAGTTGTCTAGACCTTTTGAAAATTTGTTATTGCTTACTATCCTACTATATTCACTCACCTTGTAATTGGAAAATAATTGTTTTACAATGAAGCGAAATAAATTATATAGTTTCTCAAAACACAAATGTTACTTTTTACTAGATGGATTAATGGTAGCTGTGACGCAATGATTAAGTTAAAATATTGAATTAGTGTGTAAGCAACTCAACTTATGGATGTTCATATAACAAAATTTGTAAGGTCATATGTTTTCATGACTTGTTCATCAATATGTGTTAACTTGTACATCCACTTGTATTTACAAGTGGAGGTATTATGGGGGTGAGGTCTTCACTTGGAATTAAACTTAATACATGAGATGATTTGAAATTTTAATATTTTCATGTTATTGCATGACGAGTTATTTAACGGTATGGTCAATAAAAAATTTTTTTGAGTGAAATGGAAAATAAATTATATCTATTCTATGCAACGTGTGTTCTGAAAATATTTTACGGTTTGGAACAAGGAGCTTTGACAACTATATAGTGTGAAGGATATGCAAATCTATTCATTTGAAGTGTCATATTCGTCAGTTGGCAAAATTATTAATTATTCATATATTTAAGGTCGATATTTCCCACGAACAATAATCCTTCAACAATGTGAAGACGAGGAGTCACAGTAAGGTGGCTGAAATATGTTGACCAAACCACACACTATAAAGTGAAGGGACGACGACGTTTCGGTCCATCCAGGACCATTTTCAAGTCGATTGAGAATGGTGCAGGACGAATCGAAACGTCGTCGTCCCTTCACTTTCTAGTGTGTGGTTTGGTCAACCTTCAACAATGTGTTTGTTGTTTCATGAAACTAAGAATATTGACATCTGTTATTATACCTGCTAGATATCCCATCTGTAAATACATTATCAATTCCCCTTAGGATCTTACACGTAAGCAATCATGATTGTATTTAATGTACAAATATCCAGAACCCTCAGTCTTCCATAAGCCTCTTCATTATTCGGCTAGGATCCTATCTTCTCAATATGCTTCATGCCGAAGGTAAAAACAGCCTTATGTCTGGAGGTTTTGTATGCCCAGACTACATACAACAACTGCAGGTTCGTGTGGATGTGTGCATATAAGAGTAAAGAATGAAGACCTAAGTACTGAAAGTTTTTAAAGAAAGGTTTGATGTGCTAGGTTTATGTGAGACAAAGTTAAAAGGAAATGATAAGGAAGGAAGAGATGTGCTTGGCAATGTTAAATCAGTGGTCTGAGGTTATGACTACTATAACGTATTACAAGTCCAGGTGATTGTAATATTCTTGCGTGAAAGAGCAAAGGTGTTGGTTGTCATTGTACAAACCCCATTTTGATGACAGAATTGAGAATGGAAGAGCGTCCATGCTGTTTAGAGAATTTGATCAATATAATAACCTCGAAATAATATCGTAACTGTAATTGGTGATCTGAATGGTTAAGTAGGTGGTAATTGTGTTCTAGGAATTAATGGCAATTCTGTGGATTTAAATATTTATGAAATTAATGTGACCTAAGTATTACCATTATACATTTTAAAGTAAATTACATTTATAGGTGTACATGATTCTCGATATATGATAACATTTTCCAAAATAGTTAAATTTACAATTAAATTATTGAGAGAGGTATGAACATGGGGTATGAGAGCAGTAAGAGGAATATTTCAAGATTTTGTGATCCTTTGTTCCAGTTGTGTATAAGACGGGAATCGTTTCTTTTAAGGAATCAAGATGAACAAATAATAGTGAGAACTGACAGACGAGAACGCAAGATGAGAAGATTGTGATCACAAAGACACAGAGGAAAACATTACCCCCTAGTACCATGTGCAATGTATATAAGACATGTATACCTGACCGTTGTGTAATGATAGAGTAATGAGGGGACCTGCTTAGTGGGATGAGGAGGCGGCACGAACAGCCGATGACTAAAAATTAATGGATGTTTTGGATACAAAATAAATAAGAGAGAGAGTGGAAAGAAAGTAGAAGTATGATGAGTGTAAAAGGTATGTTGAAACTTTTGTTAACAAGAAAAAATGATTAAATGAGAAGATAGGAAAAAAATATTTTTTTTTTTTTAGAAAACAAGTTGTTCAGGAAAAAACGAGTAATGAGTGTGGGCCTGGAGATAAATATGTATTAATGAGACAGCTAAAGATACGCAGTTGGGTGTAAATAACATTTTTAAAGTATAATGGCAGCTCGTCCTCTCAAGTTGTCACAACGGACAGAAAATTATTTACTAAATTTCTCTAACCGAACCAATGGACCCATGCATAGAAAACATGGTTCTTTTTGAGTTTCTATGATATATGGCACATGACATATTTTCCGTTGGAATTTTTCCTTCAATTCGTGTGTGATGTGCTATTCAAGAGAAAAGCTTAGTGATCGGTGGATGTCATGAAAAATGCGTTAACCAGGAACCTGTTTAGCAGTGAGCGAGAATGACAGATGTAGCTGCTTTTATGGTGCCAGGTCAGGTCTCATGGGAAGAAGTGTAAGCATTAGATTACACCTCTTTCCAGAAGGTGTAATAACTTCTTTGTTACATAATCGCTCACAAAATCTGGTAACCACTGACCTGAAGAGATTTTTAAAATATAGATTATTGTTTATAAAAGTAGTATATATATATATATATATATATATATATATATATATATATATATATATATATATATATATATATATATATATATATATATATATATATATATATATATATATATATATATATATATATATATATATATATATATATATATATATATATATTATTAAATATGACCGAAAAAGTAAGATTAATAATTCTAACACGAATTTTCTCAATCTTTCGTACATTACGCTTCACTGTTGGAGGTAAATCAAAAATTAATTCTCCAAAATTCATTTTTATTTCTAGTCTGACGCGACACGGGCGCGTTTCGTAAAACTTATTACATTTTCAAAGACTTTAGTTCACAAATACACAACTGAATAGAACTTACATATCTCCGATTTTATATCTACATTTGAGTGAGGTGGGAGGGGTGATGTGGCATTAACACAAGACAGAACAAGAGGGGATATTAATAGGGTATTAAAAGTATCAACACAAGACAGAACACAAACAATGGGTATTGAATAGAAGTGTTTGTAGAAAGCCTATTGGTCCATATTTCTTGATGCTTCTATATTGGAGCGGAGTCTTGAGGTGGGTAGAATATAGTTGTGCAATAATTGGCTGTTGATTGCTGGTGTTGACTTCTTGATGTGTAGTGCCTCGCAAACGTCAAGCCGCCTGCTATCGCTGTATCTATCGATGATTTCTGTGTTGTTTACTAGGATTTCTCTGGCGATGGTTTGGTTGTGGGAAGAGATTATATGTTCCTTAATGGAGCCCTGTTGCTTATGCATCGTTAAACGCCTAGAAAGAGATGTTGTTGTCTTGCCTATATACTGGGTTTTTTGGAGCTTACAGTCCCCAAGTGGGCATTTGAAGGCATAGACGACGTTAGTCTCTTTTAAAGCGTTCTGTTTTGTGTCTGGAGAGTTTCTCATGAGTAGGCTGGCCGTTTTTCTGGTTTTATAGTAAATCGTCAGTTGTATCCTCTGATTTTTGTCTGTAGGGATAACGTTTCTATTAACAATATCTTTCAGGACCCTTTCCTCCGTTTTATGAGCTGTGGAAAAGAAGTTCCTGTAAAATAGTCTAATAGGGGGTATAGGTGTTGTGTTAGTTGTCTCTTCAGAGGTTGCATGGCTTTTCACTTTCCTTCTTATGATGTCTTCGACGAAACCATTGGAGAAGCCGTTATTGACTAGGACCTGCCTTACCCTACAGAGTTCTTCGTCGACTTGCTTCCATTCTGAGCTGTGGCTAAGAGCACGGTCGACATATGCGTTAACAACACTCCTCTTGTACCTGTCGGGGCAGTCGCTGTTGGCATTTAGGCACATTCCTATGTTTGTTTCCTTAGTGTAGACTGCAGTGTGGAAACCTCCGCCCTTTTCCATGACTGTTACATCTAGAGAGGGCAGCTTCCCATCCTTTTCCATCTCGTAAGTGAAACGCAGCACGGAACTCTGCTCAAATGCCTCCTTCAGCTCCTGCAGATGTCTGACATCAGGTACCTGTGTAAAAATGTCGTCAACATACCTGCAGTATATGGCCGGTTTCAAGTTCATGTCGACTAAGACTTTTTGCTCGATGGTACCCATATAGAAGTTTGCAAACAGGACACCGAGGGGAGAACCCATGGCGACCCCATCTACTTGCTTATACATGTGCCCATCCGGGCTCAAGAAGGGTGCCTCTTTAGTACAAGCTTGGAGTAGTTTCCTCAGAATATTTTCTGGTATGTCAAGAGGAGTACAGGCTGGATCACGATACACTCTGTCGGCTATCATTCCGATTGTCTCGTCCACAGGTACGTTGGTAAACAGCGATTCTACGTCCAACGAGGCTCTTATCCCTGTGGCCCGTGTGCCCCGCAGTAAGTCAACAAATTCCTTTGGAGACTTCAGGCTGAAGGCGCAAGGAACATAAGGAGTCAGCAGGCCGTTGAGTCGCTTCGCCAGTCTGTACGTGGGTGTGGGTATCTGGCTAATGATTGGCCGAAGTGGGTTTCCAGGCTTGTGGGTCTTGACATTAGTATATGTTTTTATTAAGGCCTGTCGGCCGTCTATCACTCCATCATAGGAGGATGTAATGTATGGGGGGGTTTGATAGGGCTGGTAAGAGCC